GACAGGAAACTCAGGAAGAACTTGGAACTTGAGTGAAATTGCATACCCTGTTTTTGACAAGAAGCTCGAAAAACCATACCCTGTTCAGCGGATCACTCCCGTATAGTCCATACATGGGAGTAACCCGGGGCTCGACAACTCAAATTATTCGGTTCATTAGTTTTCTGAGATTGAGTAAGTCGGCTCTTATTGAAATTTCAGTCTTGCTTGGAAATTTATAGTAGTCGTGTCATCTTCTGGCCCGGCAATTTTACCATGATTTTGTATTTTAATCAATCGATAAAGACATCCTTTTCGTTAATGGACTGGCCTGTTTATGGAGACTAGACACCAATCTTCCGGCGACTTGGATCAAACATTACGAGGAATGCCTAGTTGATTTGTCTTAAACTACGTTTTATATGAAGACAGGAAAGTCTATGAAAATATCCAGCTTGTTTGATAAATGTTTTGAAAAGAAGATGCACGTAAAGATGTTTAGTTTTTCATGAAGTTTGTTCTGTCTTCGTTAAACAACACTATCGGCATTTTTCAAAAACGAATTCGCAAGCATAATGGCTGACTACCAAGGCTACTGAGAAACTTTAAACGTAACCTTCAGCTCTGCGTAACCTTCTAACTGTTTATAAACTGGAATTGAAATGATTCTGCATCGACTTCAAATCTAAAGATGACCACTGAAGATAGTTTAGTGATTAACTTAAACATCTTTTGTACAAACCAAAACAAGAAAGAACAGACCAAACTCGCCATAAACAAAGATGAAGTAAGCTCTGTTTATCAGCTGAAAACAAAGATACAAGATTTATGTAAAGCTCCAATTTGTGACCAAAAATTGTCCTATTTGGACCAGCCATTATCTGATCCAACGACTAAACTGAGCGAGTTATATTTAAGGGACGGAGACACTATTTGTGTGGAATTTCTTGAGAAGGTAGATCTAGAGGAATTTAATGAATGCATTAGAAAACTCAAAGGTTTTCTTTCTTCAGCTCCTCCTTGCTCATCTGATGGAAATTACATCCATGTACCTTTGATCAAGAATGTTGGCAAGATGGAAGATTTATATGCAGACATCGCAGAACCCTTGGAAAGCCTTGATATGAAATTTTCTTTATGGAAAACAGTCCAAGTGAAAGCAAACAGACACTATTTTGTTCAGGAGGGAGGATTGAAAGTTTTAGTGGAAGTTCTCCATTACTCTCAAAAGAGGTACTCTTGGATTTGTTCAACCACTAACCCACAAGTGCAGACTGCAATTTTAGTGGAAAAAACAAAAGGCAGTGATTCAAGTGACGATGATGATGAAGATTATGAAGATGACATAGCTTACAGGTACATGCCACCTAACATCTATTTCACCCCGTCCTGCTCTCAGTCTTACCTCTAGCTCAGCTGGTAGAGCATCGGTAGTGCAATTCCGAAGGTCATGGGTTTGATTCCCAGCGAGGTCGGAAATTAATTTTTCCGAATTTAATTCCAAGGGCTTTCGCCCGGAATAACCTCGTTCCCAAGCACTATAACTTATCTATATTTCTATATTTACAGGTACATGTGTGCTTATACAGTAGCTATTTGAAAAATGATTTATGAAGGTTTTGTAGCTTGTTGCTAGTTAAGCCTGGAAATGCACCATGGGTGATGTACATGCATGAAATCAGCCAAAGATCACATTTTTGCAAAAATTTGTCTGCACATTTTAACAGAGTATATTTTCTTTCGTGCTGACATTGTTTGCATATGAATATATATAATACATCTTTACTTCATGTACAGATCAGATGAACTGGTACAAAGTTTTAATGAATGGCAAATGATTCTCTGTTCTCTTGTTCTGCAAACCTTATGGAACTTCATGGAGACTGGTCCAGATACTTGGCTGGTCCTCAACATGGATACACTACAAAGCATGATTGATTCATACATAATGTCTGACAACTACAGTGGACCTTCGCCTCATCTTGCTGTCCATTTAAGAGAAAGTGCCCTTGGGTGTCTTTGTGGGTGAGTAATATGTTGAATGAAATTACAAATCTTAAGTTAGTTATGCATCGTCTTCTATCGCTATATAACTGACTTGAGATTTGTAATTTCATTCAATCCTTGATAATGCAGGGCCAAGTGGCCCAAAAGCTTGGATATTAACAGTATCAAATTAAATGTAGAAGAAACGTTTTGATTCTGATAAATATATAACTTGTCATATAAATCATGTTTCATTGATAACTTTTGCTGTTTATGCTCTAGGAAGAGACACTCAATTTTTGATTTCCTTCTAGATGTGTTGAATATGATGAAAAGGCCCAGTTTCAAGTGGCAGACAATCTTGCCATGATGAAGAAACTTAGTCACACCATTGAACCTAAAGGATTCTTTCAAAGAAATGAGTGTCCCTTGGCGGCCAATACCATTTTTTATGTGTCTTTCAATCAACAAGCAATCGAAAAATTGATCAGCTCCGGTTTTTATGAGGAAATTTTGGATAAAGTACAGGCATGGCATCAAGAGTTTGATTCTTCCATCCTGGTTCTTGTAACATGGTGAGTTTTGATGTGAATCCTGCCAATGTGATTGCAGTAATCTAATTAATTTCTGGGTGTGAGGAAAGGACACATTTAGCAATTAGTTCTTGAGCCCAAATGGGCCATTGACTCATTAGGCCATGAGGGCGAGAGAACTGCTTTAGTCAAATCCAACGAGTGGGTCAAATAATATAGATGCAAACAAACCTTAAAGTTGAAACAAACAAGTTTTGAATTAAAGTTGAATTTAACGTTTTGGTTTTCAAAGCTGGCACTTTTCTCTAATAGGAGGCTATAACTTATAAACTAGTAGTAGCTCATCCAATCAGAATGCAGCATTGGTGATAGACCCCTAGTTGGATTGACTAACACTGTTTAACTCATTAACTGATTGATCAAAGTGTGAAATAAAGAAGAAAGAAAATGATAAAAAATGAATGAGTGAGTGAATGAATGGATAGTCTGACACAGCCGCTTTCAGAAAGCGTTGCATGACGACACTGAAAGCGGCTGTGTGGGAGACTAATGAATGGGTGGATAATAAATATAGAACATGAGAGAAATGTTAGGAGAAGCACAATGCCTGGCCGAGTGCTTCTTGACAGTACTCAAGTGTTCTGCCAATCCCCAAGTGCTTTATATCTGCACACAGCACAGCACAGCACAGCACAGCACAGCACAGCAAGCAAGTTTTCTTTTCTTTCTTCATAAGATACAAATTACAATAACCATTATTTTTGATAGGAATGACGCGACTGAAAGTGCGCAGATTTATAACAGTTATTTTATAATGTAATTTATATATCTCTATTAGGTACTACTGTCTTCTGTTCTTAGCGAGAGTCAGATCATCCACACTTTGTACCATACCTCATAAACACAGCAACGCTATCGACTCAGTCATTGAGAGATTTGTACAAGAATATAATCCAAGAAGAATCGCTGAGTATGAAGAAAATAAAATGTATGTATGGATGACACTGGCTCCTATCATACACATGGCATTCGCTGCTGGGCTGCCTAGAACTAGAAAAAATACAAGACAATTGAAAACTGACACAAATGAAGGATCGTTAAGTGCAAAGAAGTCAAGATATTCAGTAGAAAAGACTCTTCCTGAAGAGATAGACATGAATAAATTTGCTGAAAATGACCTCAGCACAGCCTCAATCAGTGATTTGCACATGGACACTGACAACAATGCCCCACAGTTGTATCGACAATTCACTGGTGCGAAAGAAATAGAGCTAGGTAATCCAAAAACTGCAAGATGGCCTGGCTCGTCAGCCAGCCAGAAATTAGCCATCTTTGCACTGCAACACACGCTTTTTTCAAGAGACAACAGGCAGTTGCTAAAAGCAGAGGGTCTTGATTCTTATCTTGTTTGTCTGCGGTGGCAACTTAAATCGGGTACAGAGTACGACAAGCTGACAAATGAACTGCTGGTAGTACGAGGGGATGAGATTAAAGTACCAACATTGACAGTTATCTGTAAATCAGTGTTAGCCAGTATGCATGGGCTTGATTCGGTGTTTAGAGTGTGAGTTGATAAGTTGCATAAAGTACATACTATAGAAAAGTTGTACAAATTAGTGCAAAGATTTGTAGGTCTACGGTCTACTATAAATTTGTGCAATTTCCTGCAAAGTTTTTCGTGGATAGGATATGCACTAATCTGTTAATCAGCCCAAACTAAACGTTTACTGAAATATTGCTGTGTACATATTACGATGTTGAAACGTTTGGATATTTAAAAATAGATACAAAAAAAGGCTTTTTTACAAAGATTTTTAATTAATAAAAGTATTAATTTTGAAGGTCAGCAGATTCAGGTTACAAAGACACGGAAACTGAGGACAATTTTGTGCAACATTTTCGTTAAAAGTCTTTAAAAGATATCAGAGATTCTGTTCAAATTTGTATACACAAACGACTTTGAAAGACACGCACCTAACATAGGAATGGTTGCTTATTTTGCTAAATACAAATTAGCTCAAAATAATCCCAAACTCGTTCTTAGGGAAGAAAGTGTCCCCAAACAGAAGACCAATGATATTACAGTAAAATGTTCAGTACTAGCTGATAAACACTTCAGGTAATTTATTTTATTAACCTTATGAACAAAACCAATAATATAAATGGTTAAATATTTACACTTTTAAAAAGTTTCTAGAATAACAGGATCAAGCACCGATTTTTAAGTTAAAATGTACTCAACTTGTATCGAAAATCATATTCATATCAATGATAATTTGAGGTTTTTCTTTTACTTTTGATAAGCTTACTTTTTTTATAATTTTGGACTTGAATATAGAGTTTCTCGCGCTATGATTGGTCGAGCGACTGGTGGTTCTGAGACAATAATCATTGCAGGAGCAGTGATTATGAAGTTTTCCAATCTTTTCCAGATCGGTTATCCTGAATTTCGACTTTTTTCTGATATTCAAGCCTAAAATTATACTAAAACAATTATTCCCCTCAGGCTCAGTGATTATGGGGATATTTATATTATGTTTATAGTGATATAAATATTCCCACCAATAATCCCTTCGCCTTCGGCGAATAATTGTTAAATTTATAATATTCAAGGGAATGACGTTGTTTACAACTCACATTGAATTAAAATTCCATTGAAGAATTTGTGGAAAACGGGGCTTCCTCTTTCTGACCAATCAAACAGCAGGAAATTCATCCAATCACAACGCTTTTCCACGTGACGATTTCCCGCCAATATTTCAGATTCAAGTTAATTTAAAAAGACTGTTTCCTTCGCCTTTAAATATCTAAATGAAAACTGAATTTGCACAAATTAAAAATGGAATAATGATTATTTTATTTGAATTTGTGCAAATATGTTGAATGTAATACGACTGTGTTGAAGTCCAGTTTTGGCCAGCCAGACAAACGGACTTATCTGTTGGACGTCGTATAAACAGAACTAAAAGTTTAGTGGTTTCCCACAAATTCCATCGTTTTCTTTTGTTTTACTTTGACTGTTACTCACTAATTATACAACTTTTTTCATGTGCCAATTAGAATCACTCTATCTTCAATCTTTCCTTTTGTGTCTACTCAGTTGACTATTACGCATTGATAACTAATTTTTGTTTTACTAGGCCAGTAAAACGAGAAAGATTTCAATCTAATTGCAAGAATATTAGTTAAGTGTTTGAAAGTACAAGCGATAGAGTTATAGGATGAAACCAATGAAACCAGTTGTTGCTGCTGTAGTTGTTGCTACTTTATAGTTGTTGCTACGTTACTTGTTTCTGTTTTTTTCTGTTGCTATTATTTTTGTTGCAGCTGCTGTTGCTGTTGTTTTTTATTGTTATTGCTGTTGTTGCTGCTTTTTATTGTTATTACTATTTTTTATTGTTGTTGCTGCTTTTTTATGGTTGTTGCTTTTATTATTGGTTGCTTTTATTGTTGTTGTTGTTGTTGTTGTTATTTTTACAATCTTTAAACAAGTAATTTTTGCCAAAAACACACCAGTATCCAAGGTAGTGAGTGTACCACTAGACTTTCGTAAGGAGGCTCGAAAGGGTTTTTCTTGAGCACGCGCGTGCTCTACGTCCGATGACCTAGAACTTGCAAAACGAAAATTTTGTCCTCAAAAATTTTAATATTCAAGCTGAAAAAAATCAAAAACTCTGCGGTGAAACTTCTTCAAGTTTTGCATATGGCTTTGGTTTATGTTTCCGAAAATTTAAGAAAAAATTTAAAAAATTCTGTAAGAGGGAATTATTCCAAACAAATTTTATTGGTTTTTACGAATTCCCTCACAGAATTTTTTCTTTTTTCGTCAAAAAGAAGATTACGATACAAAGTTTAAATATTCCGGTTTTCAAAGATTTTCACCGTTTGGTTCCTGAGTTATGATTTTTTAAGTGAACATTTTTGATGGCATAAGAAGGGTTCTGATATTGTCATAGTAACGTCTTACGTCAATTTTTCACGTTCGCTGTGATCTTTGGGTTTATACGGTCTTTGGTTTTCCTGGTTTACTTGCTGTCATATCATATTTTTTTTAGTTCATAATTGTGAGTTTATGTGAAGGTACAAAACGCTTTCCAGCCTCCTTAACACTCCCAATAGCCTCTCCCCAATAACACTACCTACGCTGTATTGAGTTTGCAAATTAAAGCCAAAGAATATTATTAAAACCAAAGGATATCCTTAAAATAACATTGTCCAAAAGTGGTTTTATTCTTCAGACTCTACACAATAGCTTCATTCCTGTAAGAGAAAATTAAATAGGATTTAGTTTTTCAACAATACTCCCATTTCGAGATAGCCTTTGCTCAGTCTTGGCCTCGATTATGTACAAACGTGTTCTTTTGTTTTATCAAGCTCCATTGTAAGGAATGTACGCACTACGGAACAATACGAGTTGATTAAAATGCCACGGGTTTTGGTTGAATAGCTGAATTTTATAAAGCTACGGATACACGGTGCAACATTGCGTGCAATATTGCATGCGATTTATGTTGCGAGCCATGACACACGACGCAATTTGTTGCACGCAACGTTGCTGAAGTAGAAAACTATCCTACTTCAATGTTGCGCGTAATGTTGCACCGTGTGTCCGTGCCTTAACGCACATACGAGACTAAGACTGAGCAAAGAGACCTCGAAACTGGAGAATTACATATTCTAGTATTATTCACGCTTAGTTTAAGCATTAAAGCTGGCCATATATGCGTTGATCAAAGTCAGGACACGATTAACTCGCAGATTGATTTAGAACTTAGCGTGCAAGATTTAAATTTGCGAAGGGAGGAAAACTACCCTGCGAAGAGAGGTTTTTTTTCTTCCCTTCTGTATGGCTGAGCGACAGGAAAGAAGAACGGAGAACGAAGGGCAGAAAAAGAACTCGGCAAGAAAAGCCGGAAAAACCCGCAGAAAAAACCCTCGAATCAAGGGAGAGGCCTAACAAACTCTACTACCATCTGATGCCAAGTCCAGTAATCGAACCTGAGTCTGGGGCCCAGACGAGTGAGAGGCGAGTGCACTACTGCTATACCACCCTTGATTCCCTACCCCAGTAAGGTAACCATTTTTAGCCTCTACCCTGCTCACCCCTCCCATAATCTAACCATTGAACTCACCCATCCCGATGTTCGTATTGAAGGTCTTCCTGCTCGCCAACGCGTTCAACGAACTCTTGCTGTTGTTGCTCCATGTATCCACAGTCTTGTCTTGAACCAGAAGCAATACTATGACCAGAGGTTGACACGTGGGATAGCCTTTCAGCTTGTCTGCTGTGAAGCTGGATCAACAAAAACAACGAATCTTTGAATCTAATCCGGTAACAGTGGGGGTGGGGGGAGGGGGAATCGTGCCACTTGTCAGTCTCGTAGCCAGAGCTCCTCAGTCCCGTTGCGAGGCTGTGCCACTTGTCACTTGCTGGTGAAAATCGTCTGTGCATGCGTGAAGCTTAGACGTTTTAAGAGAACGTCAAATTTACAACTGCACGAAGACATTTTTAACTAATGAATAGACATGGAGCATGCGCAGACGTTTTTCACTTGTCTCATTCCCCGCGTTAACAAATTTTCTTCTATTATTACTCACCTCATGCATGTACAAGACACTAGAGTTCATTAAAGCCTCAGTCATCTGTTTACGGTGTTGACGGGTGTCTGCTGTGGTGTTACCCCCCCCCCCCCCCCCGTTAGACTCATCATTACTCACCTCATGCATGTACAAGACACTAGAGTTCATTAAAGCCTCAGTCATCTGTTCACGGTGTTGGCGGGTATCTGCTTTGGTGATTCCCCCATTTAGACCACCTACTGTAGGGTCACTTAGTGACATGGCTGGTAAATATGGTAAGCCTTGGAACTGAAACACAAAAAACAATATTCCATTTAGTGGACTGAACACCTCCTTGAAATAACTGCTTAATCCTCGTGTTTATCGCAAGTATGCAATGGCGCAAATGAAAGCAATGTGGAGGCGACACTGGGAACTGCTTTCATCCGCATTACTATCATCGTCATCAGCATCATCAGCATCATCATTATCATAATCACCACCATCATCATTATCATCACCATCATCATCATCTAATTATTATTACTATTAATTTATTTACAACATACTTAGTGTCAATAAACATATACAACACTAGTTCTTAAGGGTATTTTTTCATATCACATTGACTTACGCTGTTAAATGATCTGAATTCTGGTAGAGAGCTTGGTTCAGATATGGCGAGGCTCCCTTGAAGCTGAAGACCTTCTTGCATGGCTGTAAGGCAAATACATAGAGAAAACGTTTGGAACTTTTGTTAATCAAAAAGTTGCAGCAGATATCAGTGAAACATGAAAACTTTTCTAACGTACCATTTTCCTTGATAGTACTGATGAAATGTGCTCCTCGTTCTGATGGCTTCCAGTTTGGATTTCGTATCTAAGATACAGAGAAAACAATGTAAGATTGCTGTTAACACAAAGTCCAAGAATAACCAATCAAGAGAAGGAAACAGCCTCCTCCACATGCGTCTCTCTTTGACTTTGAGGTTTCTCGTTTGTTACTTAGACGGGTTCCCCGTGGTGTATAGATTGGTGTGACCGTCTGTGACCGAGGGAGACTGAGAGCGTCACACAGGGCACCCAAGCGTCAATGAAGAAAGTGAGACGTTTGCGGTGAAAGCTAGAAAGGACAATGCTACTTAAATAGCACATAGGTTATAACAACTGTTAGTGAATGAATAGGTTTTCTTACCGAGAAATGAAGAAGTGAAAGCTCAATTTTGCCATTTTCACCTTGTTCGTACTGTGTTGCTTCGGAGAGTCCATTTGACATCCACTGTTGACAAATGATGTCGTGTTGTTAGAAATACTATTTGAATGGGTAATAGCGCTACACCACCCTTGAAAATAGATCTTTTCCGAGATGCGCGGGCGCTGTCAAAAGTATCGCGTATCGCGTAAAACAGGGCCCTTTCGGGCAAGATTTTACGCGCGCTATGGAAGCAGGATTATAACTTAGTTATAAAAAAACTTTAGCTCATTTCAGACAAAATCTTTTATTCAAGGATTTTAGAAATCGCCTGTAACTCATGGGTTCCAAAGGTTTCTTATGAACGAACATGGCCTGAAAATGCCTCGTTTTCATGTCTGCGCCTGCGATATTTATGAAAGCGCTCGCACATCTCGGAAATCGTCTAATAGACGCCTTAATAGACCCCTTGCATGTGACGTCAAAGCAGCTCAATTTGGAGGTCAAAAGGGAATAATTTTGATCTCATGAGAATTGGAAACCCATTTTTATGTCCTCCAAATTGGGCTGCATTCCAACGGACTGCAAGGGGTCTATATTACATGTACTTACATCAGGGTTGCCGTGTTTCTTGACGTCAAGCTGCGCAAACGAACAAACATCACCCACACCAACAACCTCTACAGTAAAGTTACGATAGAAGTCTACGATATCCAACGACTTGTAGCGGACGCTAAAACACAGCAGAAAAGGCGTAACGATGGGGCTGATCAGCTCCTCGAAGACATTCACCTGAAACAAATGAAGGTAATGTATGTTTTAAGGATATGATCCGAGCAATTCAATGGTTCATGATGTTGCTTTTGTTTGATTGACATATCCTCAATAGACCACGTGTCATTCTCTAGAGAATAAGATTCTTTGTTTGGGCTGTATCCATTTTCATGTGTCTTCTCATGCACAGCAGGGCTCGAAATAGAAAACTTTTTTTAGCCTGTCATAGTAAAGGAGCATGGTAAAAGGAGATCATTCTTGTAAATTTTGCATGCCATTTTATTTTTCATTTGGCAGTGCATCCTTATTTTCGCCTTCCAAACCTGAAATTTGTCCTGTCATTTGGCCATTGGCAGGCCGCTATTTCGAGCCCTGCACAGCCGTTGAACAAAAGTTCTACTCTTGAGAATAACACATGGTCTGCATAGACTCCTTGCAGCACGACGGAATGCAGCTCAATATTTGGAGGATATAACAATAGGTTTCCAATTCTCAGGAGATTGAATTCTATTGTTTGGTCCTCCAAATTGAGCTGCTTTGACGTCACATGCAAGGGGTCTATTGGGAAAATATTGTGCGACGACGAATAAGGTCTATCCTAAAATATTTGAATTTATATTTTATACCATTTCCTATATTAAACATTTCTATATGAGCTGAGATTTCAACTCTTTACTAATAGCAAGGTGCTCTGTTTGGTGTTCATTAACTGCTCCTCTTAAGGGAGTTAGGGTCACGTGACCTGCTCAATTATTTTGGAGTGATCGGATTTGAAAAAATTGAAGTTGAAATTCCCGACCCACCCCCACGAGGCCCACCTATCTTTTGGGGTCGTCATGGTACCACAGGTAGCCCATCAAGACTATTTGTTTATCCCAGTATGATAGCTTGATAGCTTACCAGTTTGTATTGAAAAAGTTGGGCAAACTGGTCTCGAACCTGAAGAATAAAATTAATGATATATCAATAAGACAAAATATAGTTATGGACATGCGTAAAACGGTAGTGTGGGTCTACTTAAAACATCTTGTTATCGTTATTCACAAATGCAAATTCCACAGTGGCGCATCCAAACGGGGTCAAAATAAAAGCAATAAAAACTATCCTCAGTGATATGTGCCTTTCCTTTCCAGCATTCTGGGATATAATGGGTGTAGGATAAAAGGGAGGGTGGGTAGTAAGGGTTTACTGACCTCAGTGGTATGTGCCTTTCCTTTCCAGCTTTCTGGGATATAATGTGTGTAATACAGAATCTGTCTCATCAGCTGCTCAGGATTCCACACTAAATTCTGTAACAAACAAATGATTATCACCTCTGAAGATTTCAAACCACTTTAACTGATGAAATCCGTTACAAAACAGATCCAGGTTCACTGATCATTTATTTATTTATAAACTTTAGGTTCAAGGCACATCCATAGCATGTGTTCTTTTTTAAGTTATGGTCTTAGCTCAGTGTTGTACGTAACCCGTAAGCCTTAGCATAGTTAATGTGTGAAGCATCTTTGGTGATTTCACTCCATGAACAAAAAAAAGCTGTTTGAACTTTATTGCCAGCATGGGTTTACATTAGATAGTAGCATATTTAACCCTCATTGTTTTTACGAGGGTAACACTTAATAGCTAGTGGCTAACAAGCCTGTGTCCTAATTCAAAGATCGAAATGGAAGTTAGAAGTTCATTTTTGCGGAGGGAAGAAAAACTTTTTATCATAACTTGGAAATATCTCGTGCGCTGATTGGCTTAGAACCATTGTCGATTAGAGGCTAGACCTGCTTGTGCTTACGACATCCGTCACGCGCACTGACCTAGCGGATGAAACGGCTTTTTCAAACAATTTACTTGTCATTTTGTTCTATTTTTTTGACTTTGTTATGGTAAAAAACAAATCAAAGTCAGTTTTCTCTGGGTCTGTACTGTAATCGAACATGAAATGACGTCAAAAATGATCCAAACTTTGCAGTGAAACCACTCGTTGCGCTCGCGTGGTTCCACTTGAGTTTGGATCATTTTTGACGTCATTTTATGTTCGATTACAGTACAGACCCCATAGAAAACTGACTTCGATTTGTTAAGTAGAACCCGGAGAAAAACTTCTGAAGCACTGGAGAGAACCAACAAACAATTCTACTCACACACGACAACGAGCCTGGCGAAATTCGAACCCGGGTCACATTAATGATAGTCAATCACTCTCAGTCACCGCTATGCCACCCATGCTTCCTATTTTACTGGTCTACTACTGCTTGCCTATAAAATGTTTTATCGTCGCTAAACCAATAACTGAAACTAACCTCATCAGGAATAAATACATAACATCCTCGTATAAGAAGACCTACAAAATAACAAATGCTCGTTAGATTACGAAAATGTTAGAAAATGTTGCCATTCCAGTAATCGCGGCTGGTATGTCTATGGCGCAGTGGTTAAAGTTATTAGAGAGTTTAGGGATCTCTCTTACGGCAAATACACGTCCACTAGTTTTGTTCGTACAACTATGTAATCGACTACTAAGTATTCGAAGCCCAATTTTCCAAGCGCAAGTGACTAAGCGTACATCTTCTGGGGGGGGGGGGGTGGGGAATGTGCACTCTTTTAAGTGTTCTCTTACCTAAGCCGGCGATGACGGCTAGAATATGATCAAGACTCAAAACATCTTGGTCAAATATGGTCAGACACGTCAAAACAGCAAAAATTGCTCCTGCAAAGAACACCACATTTCTGCCAAGAAGAACACACATGTAGAAACATATGAATGTTTTTGAACAGCAAATTGAAAGCAAACATTAGGGCCATTTATAACGGGAAAAATATGCATCTTGCAAAAACAACACACGAACACGAATTTTGTACCGTTTATACGGTCAGTTCTCGCTTCTGTAAGACACGCCTTACTATTGCTCATATAAATAGCCTTATTGTCTCATATGCAGTTGACTTTAAGAATTCTACAAATAACTTTTTTCATGCCAACAAAACGCAACCATACAACAACAACGACAACGACTTAGCAGGAGTGTGCTCCTTGATTAGTGAGAGGCCAGCAGTGACTTCTGCAAAGATCATTGGGGAAGAGGGTTGGCGTGAATGAATGCCGCAGGGGCGTAGACAGGGGGGGCAGGCCCCCTCCTCATCGTGGCAACTAATTGGGGCTGTGTGAATTTATACGGTAATTTTTATTTTACTTATTTATTTTTTTAAATAAAACGTATAACGTAATGCCGCCTTTTTAATGGTGTTTTTCTACTTTTGGATCGGCGTTTGACAAACGGTATTTGACGAACGTTTGGCAGTTTTTTTAAATTTGGGCCTCCATCTTGGGAAAATTCTGGCTACGTCCCTGTGCCGGCTCGATCATTTGTGGACGTGATCAATTCAACAACATTGTCATGAATTACATCCTAAGTAATAACACCACCAGCAATAGCAAAATCGTCATTGCAACAGTGTTTGTTATTAATTTCTCACCTCGCTACGATGGCTCCCACAGGGGAAGTGAAAATGTTCATGTACTTCTGTGCTGGTTCGTAGGACTTGCTCAACCTATTTTGCCAGAATCATTTTTTAGTTCATAAAAAACTGGATTGACCAGTTAGAAATTCTAACTTACTATCTAATTATTTAGACAACCAGTAGGCGTCCCACAAGGATTGAATCTCGGACCCTACCGAATTTTTTTGTCATACGATTTTTGTGTTTATGGTACCCACTCCGTAGTTACCCAGACAACTATCCGAAGTTCGAGACCGTTTGGCGTTTTGAAGCAGGTATCCCACAGGGATTGAATCTCAGACCCTTCTGATATGTTTTTTTCATAATAAGATTTTTGCCTTATTGTGCACATTTTCCATAGTTACCCAGACAGACCATTTGGCGTTTTGAAGTGGATATCCTTCAGAAATTTAGTCTTGTATAAAAAATTATTTTGTAGAATAGTAATTAAACATTCTTGCCTCTTTACACCCATTTTCGTAATTGCTGAGGTAAAGTAAACACTGAGTTCAGACGTCTGCCATATCCTGCCAGACTACAATCAATTTCTTTTTGAGATGGAGTGGGCGTCCCGCAAGGGTTGAATCTCGGCCCACATTTTATTTTATTTTTTTTGTTGTAAGTCAAAATACCTTGCTCGAAACTCGTGGTCAAGTTCATTGAAATGCCTGAAGACAAGTCTGCCATAGGGTGACCTGGAAAAGAAAATACAACAATTACACCACTGAGATTCACGTTACTAGGTGTGTGAAGGTTAGACGAAGAAGACATACCATCCTCGGGCTCCCAAAGCATCTGGTGCTCTTTTGATCATCTGAAGTAAACAGTTATGAGTATCATAAGATTAATTTATGAGATGATATTGGAGTTCATAAAATATACAAGTCTTATGGAACTCTAATCAGGGCACGACTAGCATACAGATATTGAATTTGCATTTCTCGTGTTGGTTTTTGCAAAGGAAAGAAAACCAGATAACCAGGGGGGAGGGGGAGGGGGGACCCTTTCAATCAAGGGAGGAAAGGACCTAACAAACTATACTCGTATGTGATATCAAGTCCAGGAATCGAACCTGAGACTGCACAGATGAGACCAGGGCGCACTACCGCTATACAATCCCAGGGACGGAAATTGGACAATGTCTGGTCAGAACTGGGACTTGTCAAATCTTTGCCTTGCTGGTCGGTATGAAGAAGCTAAAACTAATTTGGCCTGTAATCATGACCGGATTTCATGCCGGGCCGTTATCTAAGCACCCTTGATTATCTTGTAAAGATTTCTTGAACGAACTCTACTCACATGTGCTACCCAAAGGAATCAAACCCGAGACCCAAGTGATTAGACGATATTGCGCTTATCGCTACCCACCCTTGATAAACATCCCCAAAAGTGATTTAACCCTATATGAAATGAGCTGTAAAAATCCAGGGAAGGCTAAGTTTGAAGACAATTTAGCCCCCTCCCTCCCTTCCCATGAAGTGTAGTCCAAGTGCTATCAAAATACAACAAATAAAAACAAACAAAGCAATCTTACCTCAGCGTAACTAAAAAATGAATAGAGTACTATCCAAAGAAAAATGAAGGGGCAGAGAAGTATGTTAGCCACGCCTATCCAGAATATCCTACGAGATAATCTAAACACAAGTAATAATAACAGGTTAAAACGATGGGCAATCAGGGTTTATTAACACTGTGATGATAATGCACCAATCATTGTCATTTTGCTTGTTGTAAATCATGTCGTCATACGTCCACCTATAAACGACCCCTCTACACTAATTTCCAATGAAGAATGATCAATGAATGACCAATGACCAATAATTACCAATGACCGATGGGAGTTAAAACAAAAGAATACACTTCTCTTGAGAAATCTTTTGTTTGACCCCAAGATTCTGGATTTCAATTGATGTCATTTTTTGTCTCGTGCGATTTCTGGTTGACAGTACATGGTGGTCAGTGTTTGGCCACCATTTGGAGCGGATTAAGAGATTCAAAGACTTTCATCAGCTGATTGAGATTTAGCAATAGGGATTTAGAGCAAGGGATCTATACTTCAAATGCAAGTAAGAGATCATACCTGTTGGCCAGCGCTGATCTGTGGAGGAAAAATAGAAATGAGAGTTCTTGCCGACATGTAGGTCAGTATTAATGGAAACAATGGAAAGCCACTTCAATGCTAAGGCATGGTGTAGTGTGTACGTACTGCAAGCTATTTACATGTTACGCCATATCATACCATGTCCGTGCTGTAGGTGAGTAATGTACAATGGAAGCCATTTCAATGTTAAGGCATGGCGTACCGTGCACTGTACAATGGGAAGCCATTTCAATGTTACGGCATGTCGAACCGTGAACGAGCTGTAGGTCAGTAATGTACAATGGGAAGCCATTTTAATGGTACGGCATGTTGTACCGTTATACGTAAGGGACGGATCATTAGATTTTTGAAGGGGGGTTGGGCAAAAACCAAAAAAAAATTCGAGCACAGCTTTAAAGATTGAAAAAAAATCGTGCATAAGAAAAGTGCCAGAAAAAAATCCAAATTATGTACAAAACAAATTCCTGCACACCCATGAGGCGGGRAAAAAATCCTGCACAAAATAAATTGTCCGTCCCTAATGAAGATTAGTAGCATAAAGTGGGAAGCCATTACAATTTCACTAACAGCTTATTTCTCACCTGTTACTTAGGTTCTTATATTCGTTTCCTAGCTTCCAGTTGTCTTGAAATGGAGAGCCAGGTCCCCAGAATAAGATCATCTTCAGGTTATACTTCATGCCTTCAGTCAGAAAAGTTCTGGAAATTTTGACAAAACGAAATCAAAACAAAATTCCCCCCTTATTAGTGGTTGCTACTGAGTGATTCACCCTTTGATTCTTGTCTGAAATATTTACATGATCCCCACTACAAATATTCCGGATTCCTCCACACCCTCAGGCAAAAAATAATAACCGCTTCCAAAGAGAATCTGAAAATAACAGTGATCTCGTGTGTGCTGAGAAAATGGCATGCGGAATTGGCCTGTCTTATTAATTCAAAGCTTAAGCATAAAAGTGTTGTTTCCTAACAATTCCCTTCTAACTAATGCTCTACCAGGAAGGAATAGGTAATGTGCAGGGACTTTTGAGCTCCAGCCCTTCTTTTCCCCATAACTTAACCCCTCACTCCATATCGACGTTGTTAGCCAAATCCTCTCTTCCGTGATGAAGACTTTGCTCCATTTTCTCTGATTTATACACCTATTTTAATAAACGCTGTTATCGCCAAAGGCTAGGCAATAGGTGAAAAACGATAGGAGATAGGTCATTTCAAGATCCAAGAATAGCTGGCCAATGGCCATTGTTTTTCAGGGCCCGGTTGTACGAAGCCTGGATAGCGCTATCCAACGGATAAATCTTATCCAGTGAATAAGCTTATTGGATAACAGCATCGACTTATACAGTGGATAAGGATTTATCCGTCGGATAGAGCTATCCAGGCTTTGTACAACCGGGCTGTGCTTTAAATTATAGTCAAGGACATGGACCTTAGTGTTGAGACTGATTCAATGTTCTTTGTATTCAACGAGCATTTCCATGTCGGAATGACCTATTGCCTACAGGTTTATTGCCTATCTTGACGACAACATTTATTGAAATAGTCGTATACTGGAGGATGAAAAGAAAACAACCATGCAGTACGCATGATATCGTACGCAGTTAACTTACCTCTGTCCAATAAAAGGAAACTTATAGGTACAAGGAATAACTCCTTTGTTTTGCATAGCTATGAAATAGTTCTTCCATCTTAGAATTCTGTGATGAATATCTGTTGGACAAAAACCATATAGATTAAAATAAACATATTTTGACCTCTTTTTAAAGTGTCCCCAACATGCGGCGGGAAAGGAGCAAGCTGCAGAAATCAGGTTTAATTTGGAAGCGTAGAAAGCCATTCTTTATTGGTATTTCCTACTAAATCTTACTCTAAAATTATACTCCATGGCTTGAACCCTTCCTCGAATGCACTTTTTTGGCACAAAGATCCTGCCAACTTATCTACAGAAACTCCATCAGTGTACGTCATGGCGAAAAAACCATTCACTTGCAAAGGTCCGTTTTAGTTTTGTCGATATAAAACAATATATAACTCCAAATAGCTGTTAAAAATAGAAACCTTTAAAGCCAAAAGAATTTCGTGAATAAGCAAAAGATAGGCTATACAAAGTGTGTAAGCGATATTTAATATTTTGCTTCTTTAAAAAGTTATTAATTTTAAATTTGGACCGCCAAAAAATTTTAAGTTTGACGTTTTACCGCATAAAAGACGAAATACTCAAAATATCATAAATCGCTCAAAGACTTTTGTAGTTTATTTTTTGCTTATTCACTGTGAAAGTATTTTGGCTATAAGCACTAACGCCATGTCCATTAATTCACCTCTACTGAACGTGCCTGATTTGTGTTCAAGGCTCGGCATTGTTTCAAATCATGAAATCCCATTCAAACAATTTTGAACAGATGCGAAAGATACCCCTGAAGTTTAACAGTAACCTTGAAGTGCTTTTTCAGGCTTTATCAAGCTCGTCCCTACGATACTCAGTCAAAAAAACCTGTGTTGGACACTCCTCTATCGAACAGTGCTATTTGTTCAACAAGAAATAAAATCTTCTTCCAAATCAAACAAACTAACCTAATTCAGTGAGTTCTTCCTTGTGCACACACATCTGATGGATTTTCTGTACCTCTATTAGTTTTTTCTGTACATCTTGCCATTGGAGGTTAATTAGTTCGCTCTAAAAAGACACAAATATAAAATAGACTCTATTCGTATTGTTCTCTGACCTTTTATGTGTAACATCATTTATATGGGGGGGGGGGGGGGGGGGGGGGGGGGACTTTCGGCTTCAAACTGAAAAGCAAATTGTCCAAATAGTATGATTTTGTGGTAAAACTTCTAATGTTTGAAAAGAGGATATTTTGGGATCCCGTTTTTAGTTTTATTTTAGCAAAAAGAATCAGTATAAAATAGCTTTAATCTGACAAAGCACTAATGCCTGAAGCATCAGATAAGTATCATCCTTCTATGTTTTCAGTTGTCATGTCCCTCCATATGAAAATAGTCAAATTTAAATTTCTGTAATTAAGTATGTTGGACTTACCTCTGATATTTGTAGAGCATTCTTATAAAATGAGTGTATTTCTAATAACTTAAAGAAGTAGACAACCAATCTTGCCAGGCGAATGAGCCAAAATATAAGAGCTATGACCAGACAAACAACAATAGCTGACTCCATGCTGGGGAAAATACATCATTGAAAAACGTTAGCAAGGAATAGAAGACTTGTAAGATATTTTATATTCAACTTAAATTTGTTGATTCATAGGGATTTTGAAGGATATTGGTCATTATTTTATGTGACTCAATATTTGGATCTCTTTTCTCTGACAAAGAACTTAATTAACTCACCCCATGTAAGGGAATCCGGAATCTGCAAAATTTTAGGCCTTGGAATCCGGAATCCAGTTTACGATGGAATCTGGAATCCACCCTTTTGGAATCCGGAAATTCAAAGTATACACTCAAATGCTATCGCCTCGACCTAGACTAAACCGATGTAGCCCCTCCCCCACTGTGTAATATCTCCATCAAGAATATCTGTCATCAGATGCAAATTAACGATATGGAATCCAGAATACAAAAGTTTTGGAATCTTGAACTTACATACAGTCCCTGATTTTGAAGGCACAAAAGCTGAATAAATAGATATGGAAATGGCAGCTTTAATAAAAATATAGGGCTGTGATTGTAACTTACTGTTTGACCTTGTGAAAATGAATAACTTTCTTAAAAGACAGGTCTTTGTCTTTGAAAAGCTTGTCATAATCCACACAGAGAACCAAGAATGATGTGAACAGTACAACAAATGCAAATTGCCTGTAAATACAATAAGCAATATGTCATTATTAATCAATTATTGGTGTAGTACTGATTCTATTAATGAATAAATAATAGATTCAGCTTTTGCATGACAATTTGCCAGTAGTCATGCAGGGGCGTAGGCAAGGGGTCTAAGGCCCCCTTCATGGCAACAAAATGGCAGCTCATTTTTAGAATTTATGCCGTAGTTTTCAAATTTTTCCATTTACTTTTTCTATTTAAAAAAATCAAACATAAATCATAATGCTGACTTTCTTAAGGTTTTATATTTTTGGTTTGACCTTTCGGGGGCTCAAACAAAATGGTGTTTGTTTTTTTTGCCCCCCCCCCCCCCACCCTTGAGAAAATATTGGCTGGCTATGACCCAGGTCATCTTAGATTTAATCAATCAATAAATTGTTTTGAATAAGAATGAATTTATTTTGACAGATTGAGATTTTCTTGTCAAGATATCTAACTTGAGTGCCATCATAATCATATTATGATCATGGAAAACTCTACTCTACATAGTGCATTTGGGGTCATATATAAAGGTTTTTTTCCATTTCCTTGAATGGGTATTCTTACTGTGAGGACAACCTTACTGATAAAAAAGATGTTAACTAATCAGGAGAGAGCAAAATCAATATCAACTTCAGCCAATCACAATCATTCCTTCAGACCACAGTCGTCAATAACATCTAAAGCTTTTTCTCAGATTTTTAGGCTTCATAGCTAACTCCTTGTTGGTTCAAGTTTGACATAGTTTGAGTATTGTTTTTACTCTATGTTGTGAACGGGACTTATTATAAACCCAATTCTACCTTGCATGAAAATCTGCCCTGGCTTATGCAAATGTGTAAAGGACCCCTGTAGTTTACCATTAATGGTCATTTAATGTATCCCGTCTGATGAAGGAGCTATCCTCCAAAAACATTTGCAATTTACAGTTTACTTTAAACATTTCTTTACTGCCTTTTAAACAGAAAAATAGTAAGTATTTCTACAACAGGATTAAAGATCCTGCAATAAATGGTAACAGATCTTCAAGGAATTTTCTTAACACATCACACATGAGGTAACACATTCAAATTAATACTTACATTAATGCAAAGAATTCAGTGAGTAATATGCAAACAAAACCATCCTTCTGGTGGTACTCATAAACGTAAAAATGTGTTAAGGAAAAAAATATAATCAAAAAGAAGAAAATGCTAACATCTATGAGTGAGTTCTAGAATGACAGGAAACTGCACTTGTCCCAGTTATATGACGGTATAATCACACATTACCTATTTCAAAATCAATTCATTTGACTTCCTTTAATCATCTGTTTAGGGAATCAAGGGTGATGTAACATTCACTTCCTGTCCACTCGCCCCTCACATCTGGAATCACTAGTTGGATCTCCCAACTAATTGCATTATATGTGAGTAGCTCACTAGCTAGCTATTCCAATTATTTAACCACCCCCTGGTTTGCTTGAGTAACAGTTCTTGTTTCAAGCCTTGGCCGGACCAACACTCAGGATCTCAAAATAATTGAAGAGAAAGTGCTGCCTTTGTAATAATTACATCTACAAATGGTTAGACTTTCAAGTGGCTTGAATGACCACTTTAAATGGCAGCCCCGTCTCTCCACACTTCATCATAACTTACTAACCAATATCTGAGGGACGTAAAAGAACCACTGAGGATGTAAAGAAACCCTGGCAGTGACCACCCTCAGTGCCTACACTTTATACTAGCTACCTCTCATGAGGTGCGTTGCAAAACCTGTTAGGCTTTCCATCCACCATGGAGTTGCAAATCCCATTAGATTTTTAGATAAATTATTATATATTCTGGTATCAACATCTGCAAGCACCAATTAACACATGGAAATACCTTACTATCCATAAGTTTAACCATAATACAATAACATCAAGAAAGGATGTAAAGGATATTCTAATGAAGAATTCATCTAAATTCTCTATGTGATTCCACCTTCCTGTAGAAACAAATATATTTGCCATGTTAGATAAAATTATTATAAAAACACTCTCTTCCTATTCTCCTATTAAAATATATCAAAGTATTATTTTCCGTATAGCTGAAGTGTATTGTTTTCTCAAAATATCCGTTATGCAACAGTTGGATAACCATATATATATATACCAACCTTTTTCCGTCTCTCCTCCTCCCCGACTGCCATTATGAAAGCCCTGTGGTGGTAAATCTTCATCTTGGTCCTCATTAGAGTTGAGTCGCTGGTATTGAGTCTTAAACCCCGCCATTTCTGGCTAACCAACGGTAAACAAACCCCAGATAAAAATAAAACACAAGGCAAATTAAACTACAGGTACCAGTTCACACAGCAACTAAAATAAGACCTCGAAAGGTAACTTCCCAAATTGTGTATTTTCTTTACATTATAGTCCTAGGTTCCCTATTTGCAAAGGAAGCAGCTCTCCATCGACCAAAATACCACAGCAGAAAAAAACCTGCATGAATCAGCTATGAATCTTCTTCCTTTTTCGTTTAAGCCCCTGCGTCATGAAATGTTACTCGATTTTGCGCCTGTTTTTCCGCTCTATCGCTCTCAAATATCATCCATAAAGGTTCCCTGGTTATTATTGGATGTGATTTCTGGTAATTCGACGTAAAATTATTGGTTAAATTCTCGGAATATCTTGATTTGAATGTCATCAACAGCTTTCTTTCGACTTGACCTTGAAATTTTTCTTTGTTTACGTTGAACTGCGCGTGCGCAATACTAGATCCAGCCTTTTTGGTCAACAAACACAGGAAACCCACTACTTCCATTATGAGAATAGAATAAAAAAATAGAAAATAGAAAATCGTATCAGAGATTATTTTTGAGCAAAACGAACAAGGGAATAACATTTTATCATTAAAATGATGAATTCTTACTCTGTTATTAAAAAGTATTATTTTTTTGTTATTGGTAATCAAATTAAAATAAATGACAAATATGGAGTCAAGATGACTCAGAAACTGTCGGATTTTAGCGTAAATTTTCTTTACAAATATTTTTGAATTTATATTGCAACTGTAGACGTARTAAAAGCCTGGAAATCAGTATCAAATCCATAAAAGGTATTTTAAACAGAGATCTCTTTTGTTGGAGGCTTTGCTGGGCTTTGTTCATCATATGGCGACTTTTTGTTTTTGATCATAGAACCGCGTAATAAATTCGTACAGCTTACAGCTACTTCATTTGACTCACAGATGAAGTTTTGTTGCTTTAGCAACGCATAAACCAATGATTTCAAACAGTACAAGCAACCTTTAGTATTTACACTGCCATAGAGAACACAAAGCGCCGTCCTTTACTCGTCAAACACAAGCAACAAACTCATCATGTCGGACATTGGATCCGAAGAATTCGAAGAGGAAGAAGGCATTAACTTAGGGGTAAGATTTTAGGAAGATTTTGGACTATTTTTCTCCGCTTCTAGCTTAAAAAACGAAGATGAATAATCACTACTGTATTCGACCACAACTTGTCCTTACTTTCGTTTATATTTCATTTGCTAAAAAAATATCAAATTATATGCGCGTACACATGTTTTTCTGACATATGATATTCATAAAACAGAGTTTTTTGCGTTTTCTCCTTTGGATTAGTCTTAACTTACTTTCACACTTGAGACAGCACTGCGATATTTATTCAATTAATCAAATGTCTGTTTTAAAAATCATTATCTTGTTTACTTTATGGTGTAAATTTATTTATTCGTTAAAATATGGTTGCCCCGTGTCAACGACCCGGGAAAATCAATAGTGTAGTAGAGCAAAGCGTTTCTGCTGGCTGGATGCGATCAGTGCCGGTGCTCATTTTGTCATGACAGCAGTGTTACAATTATAAAAATGTTCTCGATTACATTGCTTGCATTATGCCTGAGATATTTCAAGACAGGGGAAGAAAAGAAAGCTCTTTAATAAAGATGCGACCCAAAGTCTTTCCTTCGTTTTAACAAGGCATGGACTTCTCGAAACGGGCAGAAGTCGGCCATCCTCTTTAGACATGTATAACCACACAAAAAAGAAGAGGTTGCAGACCCTTAAACAAATAGCAAGTTGCCAATGTATCGAAATCATTCGTTATACTATTACCAGGAAAAGGGCTTTGGTGACTTCAAGCCGACTTCGGCATAAGTGGCAAAACTATTTTGTAACCATATTTTAGTAATTGCTTGGCAGTTCAGTGTTAACAAATATTTTGGTTTTCCTGGTTTGAAAATAGAAACAAAAACTTTATAAGTTTAAATAGAAACAAAAACTTTATAAGTTTCGTACCGTGGCTTTCACATGGCTTCCTGAAATTAAAACTCGGACTGTGATTGGTTGACGCAGATGTACTTTTTATTGGTTCAAAACGAAAAGGTTCCGTTCGTTTCCCATTCAAACTTGTTCTAACATATCGTCCCTTTATTACGTACACAGAGCTACGAGGGTGACAGAAATGAAGGAGAGGAGCGCCATGGGTTTGGAAAGGCAACTCTCCCTAACGGGGATACCTACGAAGGACAATACGAACACGGCAAGCGCAATGGTAACGGAACCTATCGCTTCAAAAACGGCGCCAAATACGTAGGGGAGTACTCAAAAGCCAAAAAGCATGGCCAGGGGACATTCTGGTACCCAGATGGGTCAAGATACGAAGGGGGCTGGGTCGAAGACAGAAGAAATGGCCATGGCATCTATTACTATGTGAATGGGGACACATACGAAGGGAACTGGTATGAGCACCAAAGACATGGACAAGGAACTTATACCTACGCATCTACAAGGAGCAAATACACAGGGACTTGGGTGAATGGCAAGAGAGAGGGCTCTGGTGAGCTCATTCACTCCAATCATCGGTTTATAGGAAACTTTGTGGAAAATAACCCACAAGGTGTTGGCAAGTACAAGTTTGACATGGGCTGCGAGCAACATGGAGAGTACTTGTTAGAGGAACACCTTCAGGAAGGAGATACTGAGGAAGATGAACAAATCACGATTATTACTCCTAAATGGAAGTGCACAAGAATTGGAGAAATGGAAAGCATTATGGCTGAATAAAAATAGATACTGGTCTAATATTCCTTGTCATTAGAGTGACATTCCTCAAATCAGATGCTAATGTGACTTGTACTAAGCAGTTTTCAGTATTTATTACTCTTGTAAAACATTATTAGCTTTTAGCATCTTAATAATATGAATTATCACAGAACTTCAGGAAAATATTTGAAAGTGATGACAGAGATGATAGTCAAATAAACATGTTACACGTTTTTCACAAGTGCACTGTATTTATTCCTTAACGCTGACTATATCTTTCACATATACTACACACTATTTATACAGTGGAATTGAGTAGGATACCATGACATATCCCACAAATGTCTAGCAAGGCGTATAAGTTACTGAGAAGGAATACAACAGCGGACTGTATATGCATGGCTTCAAGAATAAATGTCATTCATAATTATTATTGTTCATGCCATTTTGCAATTTTCTGTCGTTATCCATGTGTCATTTTAAAAATCCTGTGCGCCAAATTAGAGCTGCATCTGAGTATAAAAATCAATCTTCTTTCTTGTTCAAGTTTATTTTTCCTTCAAGCCCAAAGAATACTGTAACAACAAAAGCAGCAAATATATATATATATATTATTACACTTACATTTTCCGTTGCCCCTTTGAATATATGACACAATATCATAACAATAATAACAATATTGATCATCATAAGGTGAATCAAGAAACAAAAGTACAGCTCAAGTTTGTAGTCCACCAAGGGTGGTTTAGCAGTAGTACACTTGCCTCTCACTTCTGGGGTCTTGGGTTCAATTCCTGGACTCAACATCACATGTGATTAGAGATTGTTAGGTCTCTCACTTGATTTGATTTTTTTCCTGGTTACTCCAGTTTTCCTCCCTTCCTCCCTAATCTGTGAATTAGCAGTTCCTTGACTTAGTTCAGCACAGAGGTTGTTGCAGGGTGATAAAGTGGACTATAATAATTTATGCTACATGTATGTATGTTGACAATCTCAGAAATGTCTCCTGGAAATTAGGCATAGAAAGTTTGTTTTTCTGATAGACACAATAAAACTTTACCTTAATAAAGTTGGTTCAGGCATCCCTGGATCTCCCCCTTTCTTCAGACCTAACAAACGATTAAAGCATGTCATTGCATAGTACGGTCTTAACCCAGGTGAATAAATGTTAATCGAAGTATTATGATCATCCGGGTGGATGTAGTCCTGAGAAGGACTGTTTGATATGACTGACGTTTCGACAACCTGAGCGGAAGTCATCTTCAGAGTCACGTGAAGAATAAAGTCAGATTGTTCATATTTATACTGCCACGATAATAGCCTAATTACCTGGATTATAAGGGCTTATATGGAAATAGGACTATATAAATAAATAAAGTTATTATTATTTATTATTATATGATTAGCGTAATTGGCGGCATCGGTCTAATGAGTGCGAGCTGCTGTTGCAGGTTGTCGAAACGTCAGTCACATCAAACAATCCTTCTCAGGACTACATCCACCTGGATGATCATAACACTTTGATTAATAAAACATGTTAGCTGCCTTTGCATTTGATGTGACATTTTTATTAGTCACAGATTAACTTAGCAAGCTTTTATAGAATCCTAGTCAACAACAATGCACTGCATGCCTATATCATTGTTTAAATCATTCGCCATCATTGTTCTCCAAGCTCTGGTGGAGCAAAATTTCTGCAGATTTGCTATCCGAAAGTCCTCAAATTACCAAAGTTTTTTTTCCTTTCATTCTTCAGCAAGTAGGTTAAACTTTTCAGAGATTATCTTTGTGACATAATGACTTTTCAGTCATGTAGCCATCATGACTTTCAAAATCTACGTTTGATTCGTTGCCAAAATTTCATATCTCATGGAAAGCATAAAGGGACTATATAGCATTATATCATGATGTTCATAAAACATCTAGCAGGAATAGCTAGACCGATGGGCCTAACTTCCATAATAATACCAAGTTGAGGTTTGAGTTTCAGCGCATAGCAAAACTACAGTTTATCATGCGCAGCAACTCCAACCTCTGCTTGGAAATATCATTTGTGATCACTGAACAGAACTGTAAAATATAGTATTAGTTTTAGCTCAGTCAAACCTCCTATCTGACTCCTTTCTGGTCAAAATGACTGGCAAAGATTTGACAGGATAAGCTCCAATAGATGATTTCCAAGATAGGTGAGAGCTTTCAYATATATCATAGGCACAGGGATGGAAAACAAGGTATTTTCAGGCAGGGTACATAAGAAACTTTTGGAAACCATAGAGTTATAGGTGATTGCTAAAACCCTTGAAGAAAAAATGTTGTCTGAAATGAGCTATATTTTAAAAAGAGTTTATATTCCTTCAACGATAGTTGCAGGTGAAAATCGTACCGTCTAAACCGGCCTTAAGGGAATCATAGTGTTGTCAAGCAGAATCTATTTATAGAGTGTAGTTGGACTTCCTGTGAAAGAAAGTTGTTTGCATCCAAAAGAATTAACTAACAAAATATATAACACGAATCTGCAATTATGTGTCAAACCGACCGACATAGAAATCCCTACTGTTAATGTTGGAAAGAATCTTAGACTCTTATTCCATGAAAATCAATTTTCGCACGTGTCATTTTCGGGTTTGGAATCAATATGCTTGTGAAACATTATTTTTTAATTCCTATTTAAGAATATGTGGTCAACAGACAAGAAGAATATAAAAGCTAAAAGAAACACTATACTGTACGCTTTAAATTAAATATCTCTAAGATTCTGAAGCTTAAGTGAGCTTCAAACAACTTGAGTCATGATCAAGCCACTTACTCGGGGCCTCTCTACTTACCTAGATAAATAATAAATGGTATAAATCCCCAATGGAATACAGTCTTTGAGTAATGAAAGACTGTTTGGACCCTCTTCTTTGTCTCAGTCTTCATTTTGACCATTTTTAGGACTTATTTTGAGCGTAAAAAAGCCAATTATTTCTTCTCGTCCTTCAAAAAACCAGCGTGCAAGACTGGGAAAAAATGTTGCGGTCACCAAATATTCTAGTACCAGACCTCCTCGGTTGGAAATATTTCGTAACCAGGCTCACTCGACTCTTTCGCAATCCTTTGATTCTTTTGGAAGTTATCTCTATAAAAATGGTTCTCATTGAAAAGGCTTTAGTGTTCCTAATTAATGCCTTCAAGGAAAAGAACTACATTGTCCTTCTAGCTGCTATATTAGGGGTTTTAATACCGATAATAATTTTCCGTCTTCGTCGGTATCGAGACTCGATTGGCAGGAATCCCTTTGAGGAAGACACTGTCCGACCTGCAGAACCCATCATAGAGGATCAATCCGAGAGAGATAAGATCTTAAAACAGGGTTTTGCAACCAAGAAGATCCCGGAGAACCTCGATGCTGTGGTTATTGGTAGTGGTATTGGAGGCATGACCTGTGCTTGTTTGTTGGCTAAAGCGGGCAAGAAGGTGTTGGTGTTGGAGCAACATGATCAAGCTGGGGGTTGCTGTCACACGTTTCATGATAAAGGTAAAGTATTACTCCATGCAGAATTATAAAAGAAAGGCACTGTTGTAATAAAAGTTCTGTTTAGTGTGATCTGATGATATTTATCGCTGCACAATAATTGAATCAAAGCAGACATTTGCAGTTACATGCTTCTTTTGAACAAGTTGATTATTTGCATTTCCCTTTAAAGACCTGTGAGAAGTATATTTGAAGTTATATGTTATAAACTAGACATTCCTTACTCCCAAAAATCCTTAAGTGGAAACACAGTCAGGATCAACTTACTTTTTACTGTATGAAAGATTACTATACCAGCCCTACCCTCCCCCTCCCCCTACCCTCTTCCTACACACCCCCTCCCAGCCAAAAAAAAAAGTCCCAAAATTATATACGAGTTATCTGTCTATAGGATTTGAATTTGACACTGGAATTCATTACATTGGTGAAATGCAAAATAATACCATGACAAAATTCCTGATTGACCAACTGACGGACGGACAGCTACAGTGGGCACCTCTGGAGAAGCAGTATGATACAGTAGCAATAGGTGACCTGAGTAAACCAAAAATCTTCCCAATCATGAGTGGAAAAGAGGAATATAGGCATGCCCTGTATGAAAAGTTTCCTGATGAAAAGAAAGCCATTGATAAGTACCTAGAGCTTCTAAAGGTAATGGAATCATTTTACTGTGTAAACCATTTCTTACGAGGCTAACCAATCATAAATATATGTCAAAAATATGTTAAAAACGTGTTTTATCAATCAGTACGAAACTACTAAACAAATGAAGTGCAATAATGCATATTGTATTTTTAAATAATGTTTCTAAAACTTCTGATGCTATTGGAGCTCAGTTATAACTCAACTTTAGTAGTACCTTAAAACTTTAAATTATACAGTAGTGCAGGACTGTAGATATAACAGTAGAACAGAGAAAACTGAGTCGGTAATAACTACTTTTTAAAATAGGCAGCCGGTGACTTTGCTCTGTACAGACGAATGAAGCTTCCTTTGAAACCATACTGACTCGAGGCTGGATATCACCCCAGACAGGCTATCGGCATGGCTTGTTTTAATACTGTACCCCTATAAAATAAATGGTCCCATTTGATTAATTGTATCCTGGGTGCCAGAGACTATTTTTGCACTTTAATGGTGTTTGTTTAATTTTCATTTCAGAAAATGAGGAAGAGCACGATGGGTTTCTTTGTTCTCAAGGCTTTACCCTATTGGCTTGGTAGGATTCTTGTATCTACAGGTCTCATACATCTCTTCACTGACTACTTCAAGATGGCCAAGAGATCGTTAACAGAGGTTCTTGATGAATTAACTGATAACAGAGACCTTAAGACGGTGTTAGCTTACTGTTTTGGAGATTATGGTAGGTGCACATGCTGCTAATAAATACATTTCGGTGCAATTCAAGCAAATACTTTTAATAGTCCCTAGTACTAGTCCTGTTTCTTGTCCTCCAAGTATTTTTTTTTTAAACATGGCATTGGACCTCTTTCACTTTATTTTCTCTATTTCCTTTTCTTACTTACTTTCTTTCTTTGTTTGTCCCTAAATACACCACATACAATTTAAGAGAATCTAGTAATAAACTTAGCATTCACAAGCCTCGCACTGATTATCTTAAAAAACGTTTTAGCTACAGTGGTGTAGCTTTGTGGAATGAACTACCAACTGAACTAAGGATGTCAGCATCTACATCTCAGACTCCCACACGGCAAATATGTAAAACAGGTTTTAATACGTATTATGATACATACATACATACATACATACATACAT